GATTTTTAGACTAACAACCACACTTTAAATCCACTTATCACAACCAAAAGAATGAAGACAGATATTACAGTGCATCCTCTGCAGCCACAAAGACTCAATAATGTGGCATTCACTTTAGAGCTTTATCTAAAAAGGAGATTCGTCTGTAATAAATAACATGATCTCATGAACTGCAGGTTCAAATAAAATACTAATAGCACAACTTGAAGTCACAAACGTCAGATGAATCCCATTAAATATCCAACAATTCAATGAGAATCTAAAGTAAATATGGCTGGTCCCAAATATTCATATACAGCCTCTCTGTAACAACTCATTTAGATGAAATTCAACTTAGCTAAAGATTATTAAATCCCCAATGTTGAAATTATCAAGATTTTATCTCTCTGGCACAGAAACTATTTAGGAGGTTGGCCTGCTGGATACATTTAAATCTGAACTTTGTAAAGATTGTATGACAAGACATCTATATGATTTCTTGGTTATTTTTTTTGAAAAAGTGAAAGATTTGATTTGGTTTTCCTATTTATTCTGGACATGAGAAAAAACACAAGAATTAAGAGACTGAGGGCTGTATTTGATGGAAGTACTCAATGTATCACATTCCTGTCCTGAATTCAAAGAAATAGTCTGGAAAATTAGTATGCAGAGGGATCTTGCAGCACCTTTGAGACTAACTGAAAAAGAGAAGTTGGCAGCATAAGCTTTCGTAGACTTGAGCCTACTTCCTTATATGCATCTTAGGAAGGACTGATGCATCTGAAGAAGGGCTCAAGTCTACGAAAGCTACCAAATTCTCTCTTTCATTTAGGGGCTTTACAGACTCCCAGAAATAATGCAGTTTGAGGCCACTTTAACTGCCCTGGCTCAGTGCTAGGGAATCATGGGAACTGTAGTTTATTGAGGCACCAGAGCTCCTTGACAGAGAAGGCTCAATGTCTCAGAAAAAAATACAATTCCCATGATTCCCTAGCATTGGGCCAGGACAGTTAAAGTGGACTCAAGCTGCATTATTTCTGGCATTCTGTAAAGGCCCTTTGTCACAAAGGTGCTACAACATCCCTTTGCATTCCTGTATTGAGTGTGAATTAATCCAGAATAACTACTCCTCCAATTCTGCACTCACAATCAAGGCAGATTAAAATCCCTTCATAAACAAAGTACTGAAAGGCAGGTTGGGTGGGAGCCTTTGCCCTTCTATCTTTTTATAAGAGCCACTTGACAGCCATGGTGTAGTTATGTTGTTAAGGAGGACAATACATTTTGAATAGTAAATATACTCAATATTTTGCAGTATAAGAGCCAGCATTATATAGTGTTGGACTATGACTTTGGAGACCAGGGTTTGAATCCTTGCTTGGCCATGAAGACCCCATGTGTGACTCTGGGTGCAAGTCACACTCTCTCAGCCTCAGAGGATGCTAATGGGGCAAACCCCCTCTGAAGAAATGTGCCAAGAAAAAAAACTCATGACAGGTTCATGGCCTTAGGCTCAGAAAGGACTTGAAGGCAACACAGCAACAAACCTCAGGTATAAGAATGCGATTAACAACTAATCTTAAAAGCTCCTCGTAACATATAGAGCCTTTTGGTAACCAAATAAGAACCCTTTTTCAGCAATTAAAAGGAAGTATTATTTAGGACGCCTTGAATCCTAAGTAATTCATTTGGGGAATGAGGAGAGGATAGAAATCCCATAAACAAAGAAATAAATAAAAATGTTAGGACAAGAGGTCTGACTCTTTCCCCATATTGCGACCACATCAGATGCCAGAAAGAAGTGTAACATCAACATCATCAACACCATTATTATTATTATTATTACTACTATTTTTTTCCCCATTTTGTTCCTTTGCGAGACCAGAAAGGGAGCCCCAGGGCGACCTATTTCAAGGAATATAAGGATCATTAAATAGGGAGGGACCGACTGACTATCGCCTTTTCAATGAAGGTCCAAAATGGAAGGAAGGAAGGACTCTTCTGTATTTACTTGCATTTGCCTATACAGTACATACATAATGCGATATGTTCAGGTCCAAGTCTGAACACAAAATCCAAAACCATCTTGCAAATATACATTATACACATAGCCTTGAGAGGCAATCTGACACCATTTTTTAAAAATAATTTTGCGCATGAAACAAGACTGAACCCTCAGAAAGCACTGTTTCTCAACCACCCCAAATAAACGTCTTTTTTTTTTGGCTGTTAAGAGCCCGGTATTCTGGATGTCAGAATTCTGGCTAAGGGAGACGCAACCTAAATAAAATAAGTCAA